GACCCAGCCTCAGCCTCAGATCTAGTCTCCGCTTCAGCCTCAGCTCCAGTCCCAGCCCAAGCTCAAGCCCCAGACCCAGCCTCAGTTCCAGACCCAGACTCAGCCTCAGATCTAGTCTCCGTTTCAGTCCCAGCCTTAGTTCAAGCCCCAGTCCCAGCCTCAGCTTCAGCCCCAGCCTCGGCCTTTCCCTCTCCTTCGGGCCTGTCACGGGGTAGGGTGGGGGGGGCCGAAAAACGCCTTCTCAAAGCAACCACGGCGTTACGCGCGATGCAGCCGATGGCGTGGCGCGCGCTGTGTTGGGCCGGGTTGCGGCAAAGGCCCCTCCGGACGGTCGTTAACAACGTACGGCGGCTTTTCACGGGCGAGGGCCCCAAGACAAGGCGGGAGAGGAAAGGGTCCTTTGCCGCCGCGCTGGCGGACCTCCGCGACGGCCTCACGAGCGTGACCGTCGAGAAGCTCCTCGGGCGGGACGTCAGTCCGGCGCAGAAGTGCCTGGAGAGGTATTCCCTCTCTCAGATCGGCGACAAGGGCTCGCTATCTCAGGCGCTCTACCGCTGGCTTCAGGCCGCAGTGGAAGTAGTGGAGGCGGCGAAGATGGAAAGCGAAGGAACGAGTCTCTTATCGAGTGGGTTGATCTCACAGGTCTCCATCGCCGCCGGGGTAGAGACATCTGAGCTGAAGCAGGAAAACTTATCAGAGGAAACGGTGAAAGAACTAGAGTTTGAGCTGCAAGAGCACGAGGAGTATATTAATATGGCGCAAGAAGAGCTCCACGCGATGGATGAGCTGCTCAAGGAGGCTAATACAAAACCCAAGGGTTGGATCGTGTGTAGTGAGGACGTGGTTGGGAGCTTTCCACGCAAAGAGGCTAAAGAGTTTTGGTCAAAGATCTCTGGGTTTTATAATGAGAGTAGGGATGGTGGCGCTGGTGAGGGAGAGACAAGATGTATAAGCACAGATACCAGCCAACGCATTTTGTCAATGGTAGAGCACTTCGAGAACGCGAGATTGTTGACAAACGCTGAGATTGGCGCCTCTACCTCGGTAGCTTTTTCCAATTTAGTGCCACAGAGTTCTACCGGTTTTGATAACACTCGAGGCGAGGGATATGTACCCCTTCTGTTCTCTGGGGATGTGCCAGATAACTCAACGACATCGGCAAACACGTTCTTTAAGAATATTTTCGAATGCCCAGTGATAGAAACTGCTTTGTCTAGTGAATTTCCGCGCCTACTCGAGGCCAGAGATAGGACGAATGGAAGCGGTGAGCAGATGAAAGGTTTCAGGGATGAGGAGGGATGCTTTGTGATAAATTCACAAGAGACGCCGGGAGTCTTGAACTCTTGTAAAGCTCCGTTGTCGATGGGTGAGGCTTTGTCCAATAGCCATACGAATGATGCTGTCTTGGGTTTGAGCGAGAGACTCCGATATGAGAAGCGAATCGACGAACTTGAGAAAGAACTGAAGCAAGCTTTAAATGCCAGCCCCAAGGATGAAATTCAGCTACTAAAAGGTGACCTCAAGGCCTCCAATCACGAGTTGCGGCGGTTAACCGAGGAGCGTGATCGATTAATGGCGGAACGTTGGGGCATGCCGTTGACATGGGAAAAGTACTCAACAGTACATAATCTTTCTTCTTCCCACCTCATTACCACCAAGAAAGCAGCCGAAGGAGGCGAGTGTGATACGAATGAAGGCGAGACTAGCGTGGGGGCGAACAAGGCAGAAGCACCCTTCACAAACTTCGGCACCGCCGTCGAGGAGGAGCTCAAAGAACGGCTCGCCATCGCCTACCAGCGCATCCGGGAGCTTGAGAAGGCCAACGGGGTGGGGTTGAGTTCAGTCCGGACGCCGGCTCATGGGATGGAGCGCCTGGAAAGGCGCCCGATCGACCTCACCGAGGCGGGGGAAGGGGGCCTGCGGAGGGGCCATCACAGCTCCGCGGACGGCCTGCCCGGGCTCCCCAACCCGCCCGAGGCGCTGCAGGCGCAGGTGAAGGCGCTCCAACAACACGTCGAGGCCCACCAGCGCACGACGCGCGGGTTGGAGGAGCGGCTGAACCGCGCCCTGCACGACCACCGCGAGGCCCAGCGGCAGATCCTCCGCCATCAAAAGGAGCAAACGACGCTCTGGGCGAGGCTCGGCGAGGCGGAGGGGAAGCTCCTCGCGCGGGCGGAGGCCGGGGAGTGCGCCGGGCGTGGGCCCTCCCCCCGTCGGGTCGTGGGGCTGCTCTTGGAGGAGGAGGAGGACGGGCCGCACCCTCCGACATCAGGGGGCTTGGAGGAGGAGGAGAGTACGGTCTCCGTCGGCGTCAGCGAGGTCGGGGGGTCGCTGCTCTCGTCCTTTTCGTTTCGCCCGCGGTTGGAGGCGCCGGCGGGGCGCTCGGCGAACCTGGGGACCGACAGCCCGGAGTCCTCCTTTTTGCGCGTGATGACGACGGGCGGGGGGTCGTGGGAGGGCCCTTCGCGCCGGCATCCCCTCGGCAAGCCGCTGGAGGGGATGAGCGCGATGGAGCTCCGGCGGGAGGTCCTGCGGCTGCGGCGCGAGGTCGAGGCCCTGCAATCCTGCGAGGCCCGCCTGAAAATGGAGTTGGAGTCGGGTCGGGAGCGGCAGATGGAGGAGCGGCTCCAGCGCCAGCGCGCGCGAAACGCCCGGCTGCAGGTGCTTCAACGCCTGGGCGATGTGGTCAAGCAGAAGCTGCTCGAGAACGATCGGAGCGTTTATTTGGATAACAGCGACCACTCCGAGGAGGGCCTGATGAGGCTGCTTGAGAAGTCCAAGAAGGAGGTCGAGCTGCTGGTGCAACGTCACCAAATCTAGAAGCCGCATCGTTTTATTCCTCAAACATATTATTATTATTATTATTATTGTTGTTATGATATATATTTATATTAATACAAATTTAACTTCCTTTTATTTTTCACCGATAGCCATCACTTAGTGTCTCATGCGTGTGGGGAAAGAGAGAGAAAGAGAAAGAGAGAGAGAGAGAAATAGAGACTGATAGGAAGAATAGGGGGGACTAACAAAGGTGAAAAATAACAGATTATTACATGTTTTTCAACTAAAAGATCTTTATTTAGAAACCATGTGGCAGCTTCGTACTTGTGGATAGAATATACTTCATTACTCGAAGTTTTTTTCTTAATAGCATCTGAATACTATCACAATAATTTTTGGTTTTCTTATTTTCTTTTCAGAGTATATCTATTGAACGTGTAATGGATCCCTTTTGGCACGTTCATACTCTTTTATGCGGAAATTTGTGGTACTAAACTTATATAATCATAGTGTTGACCCAAGTGAACACTATGTGTACTGAGCTTTCAATCGTATTTTGTACTCTTAGATAGACAGAAAAAGAGAATTTAGCGCGTTTTTTGGATTGGCCCCTTTCTGCGGTTGTTTTTTTTAGATTTGCAATGTTTGCGCTTACAAATAAGGGAACCAATCCCTTTTCATGTATTGCTCTTTTTTCTTGTCTATTTTGTATCCCTTATACACATTTGTATATGAAGTTTATGTATTGGGGTTTCCATGTATTTGATTCGAAAAATATTCACTTTTTTAAAATTCCCAATACTCCTTAAGACGGTTCATCCTGGTGTTTGACGTCGTAGTTTCAACATCCAATGAATATCCTTGTTTATTACCTTTAGGTACCTCCTACATGCCGTTATCAATGTTATTCCCGGCGTGGTGGGCTACCTTGTGTTGTGAATCGCACCAGGCTGAAGGAGAATGGGGCTATTTCCAGACTCCTTCGTTTACCGTTGCTGGTATTAGTTTCTATTAAAAAGAGGATTATTGTATTTCTAAAGATACTGCATGTGATGTTTTTCTTTATTTTTTTACCCACTGATTGACTATTATTTTATTGTATTTTTCTTTCTCTTTTCACTAAAATTTATTCCCATGCGCTAAAGTCATCAAAATTATCAAATCAAACCGAGCACAACACACGCGTTTTAAAGTTACTTAATAATGTTGTCATTGTTATTGTGTATCGCATGCAATACAGTGATGGCAGTACTTAAACCATAATTCTGAAAGAACACTAAGGGTATTTTTTCCTAGCAGTTTCTCCATTTGTACTTCTATTAAAAGGCACATTTTTCCCCACATAATGTAAAATATTCTTATACTAGTCCCATTATTTGCTTTGCTTCATTAGTTTCGCATTGCATTTATTTAAGAATTTTCTCTTTTAATTCCTAATCTATATTTATGTTGATATTATTTCATTATATTCTTAGTGTTGCCCCGATGCTTTCTAAAGGCACATGAACCTTTGACCTCAACGATAGCTTGTATCACCTATAATCTTCTGCCGGACTTCATCAATGGATTTAATATTCACAACAACCGACTTTAGAATGCCTTTTGAATACCTACACTGCGTGTTTTATCACTCTTAGGAGGGTAAGCGCCTTTAGGATCTCGAATTCAATCTTCTCTTTTTTATTTTTACACTTTATTCCTTTATTCAAATACATAATGGAGCTGTCAAACGCCCAGTTTCATCCCTAATACCTCTGAGGAAAAAGAAAGGAAAATGTGCGGCGACAGATGGGCTTTTAGGGACTCAAGGGTGTGTGAACAGCTGTACACCCCCCTCCGAATAATGCTGTATTTTATGAAGCATGATCTTCACTTTAATTGAAAGCAAAGTGTTCCTTATATTTGACTGTGATTTTGATTACATATTATTCATCAGAAGCATGGAAAAAGAAATAAGTGTATGTAGGTATAGTTGTGTAAACAACATCGCTTAGTTCACTTATTATTATTATTATTATTACTATTATTTCATTTTGTTCGGTATTTAAATAAAGGTTAAATATCATTTATAAAATTTACTATTATGATCTATGAGTCTAATAAATAGCAATCTACTTATTCAAACACGTTACATTTTTCCCCTTAACCACAGTGTGGATACAACTGCAATTCCGCTTGTTACTGACCCATATATCCATATATATATGGATATATTCTTTTCACTTTTTGATTAGGTATCAATAAAATGCAATACCCAAAGCTATCCTACTTGTAACATATCCCAAACCCAACTTCACTCACTCCCTCATTAATCCCCATTAATCTCCTTATTTCCTGTTCCTTTTATCTTCGTCTTTTGTGCCACGTTCAACTCAAAACACCACCAAACTCCAAAGGACGACACAGGAGCCAACCATACGTATTAGCATTCCGTGCCATCGCACATCCATAGGAGCACACCAGCCACAACAGAAGGAGCCCTGAGCCTGCTAAGCGACGCGTCAACCCGTCTCGCATGGTATCCGAGCCATCCGCCTTCATTCGGCTTCTCGACAGCATCGCGGCGGACGTGGGGCCCCCGCACGACGCCGCGCCCCCGGAGGGGATTCGTGGGGGGCTGCACCACCTCGGCGGCTGTACCGCCTATGC